AAAAGGCTGGTACGGTTGTATTCATCTTCAGTTATCCATTCCTACCCCCTTTTTAGGCTTAGTTCATATCCTTCATAAAGCCTTAACTCTTCACCAACACATTATCTCTTCTCTCCTTCCTCAGAACTTCTAAGACATGTCTGTCTGCACACATCATTCTGTCACCACTTACATTTTCTTAAACTATTCTGTGTTTGGGAGCTCTGGTAGTGTAGTGCCTAAGGCACTTGACTGCTAACCAGAAGGCTGGCGGTTCAAACCCACCAGCCACTCCTCTGAAGGAAGATGGGACAATCTACTTCCATAGTGATACTGCCTCGGAAACCCAAGGAAGGGTTGCTATGAATGGGGTCCGACTCGACGGCACATAACACCACCACTCTGTTTCTTTTCCCTAGCTAGAATACAAGCTGCCTGAAAAAACAATCTAGTATTTTAAAAACTAGATGTGTTTTATACAGTCAAACCAAAACAACAAATCCACTGCCATCAAGTTGATTCCAACCCACAGAAATCCTACAGGACAGAGTAGAATTACCCCATAGGGATGCCAAGGCTGTAAATCTTCACAGAAGCACGCTGCCTCATCTTTCTCCCATGGACTGGCTGATAGGTTTGAATCAACAACCTTTTGGTTAGCAGCCCAATTATCCATAGCAGGATCAGTGTTCCTGTTTTATATGTGTCTATATTATGTGCTAATAGTGTATGTATGTATACATTTATCCACTCCATAGAATCTAGAACAGTAATACAGCATTCTGGAACAGGTCATTGTTCCTTTGAACTGAATATTTGGTCTTTTTCCTTGGGTAAAACATTCCACTGTTTCCCATAAATAAGAAGCAAAATAAATTTATGATTAGGCAAAATTAATCTAAAGTGGAAAAACTAGTACAGTGGTGGTAGGGACTGATTGGGAATGAATACAAGGGAACCTTCTGGGGAGATGAAAACATTCTAATATGTGACAGGGTGTGAGTTACATGAATGTATCTATTTATATAAAAATATATAACTAAGATTTTTACATTTCAATGTATATAATTATATCTAGAAACCTGTAAAAGTAATGGGTGGGACAGAGATAGATGATACAAGAATGGCAGAGTATTGTTAGCGTTTGTTAGGTAATGTGTACAGAGGCTCATATTATCTTGTTTATTTTGTGTATGTTTGAAATTTTCCACAATAAAGGATTTATATTGTACACATATGTTTACATATATAGATATATCTATGTATCTATATATATAGAAGGCACTCTAGTGGCATAGTGCCTAAGGCACTTGATTGCTAACAAGAAGGCTAGTGGTTCAAATCCACCAGCCACTCCTTGGAAGGAAGATTGGGCAATCTACTTCTGTAGTGACACCACCTCAGAAACCCAAGGAGGAGTCACTGTGAGTGGGATCCAATTCAACAGCAATGAGGTTTTTTTTTATTGATATATATAGATACACAAACATATATACACAAAAAATATATGCATGATTATCTCGCTAAAAATCACATTAACAGAAGTGAAAACCACCACCAGAACCTTAAAATTCCTCAGTCTCGTAATATTTGGAATAATGTTACATTGTAACTTTTCAAGTGTTTTTACTAGTTCTATTAAATAAAGGAAAAACAAAACAAAACATTGCCATTCCAACTCATAGTGACCCTAACTGGGTTTTCTAAGGCTATAAATCTTTATGGAAGCAGACTACCTCATCTTTCTCCCTCACAGCAGCTGGTGGGTTCAAACCGCTGACCTTTCGGTCAGCAGCTAAATGGTTTAACCACTATGCCACCAGAGCTCCTTCTAGCTCTATTATATATACAACTCTGTAATATATGCATATCTAGGGGAACAGGTATTCTAAGGCCAACCTGCCAATAACAGCCCAGACCAAGAAAGCAGAGCAACCACAGGTTCCTTAATTAAACATCAGATATTAAAATTAATTAGCCCTGTCACCAAAGATATCCATAACGCCAGTAACGCATAAAGCTAAAATTTTTTAATCTCAAACTGTGACACCAATTCCAGTCAAAGATACTCATAAGTATAATATGTACAGAGTCAACACCATTCTTAATGTTTCAAAATAATTCATTTTATCTCAGTAATTTAAGCTTCATGTTTATCCACAGCACTTTCCTTCCACAAAATATTCAATATGTAATACAAAGATTTTTCCTCCTTATGCCAATGGAAAAGATTAAATTTTATTTAGTAAACTAACTTGCATAATTTTATTCCCAAAAAAGTTTACAGTTCCTCAAATAGAGGTTTTTTAAGTATTTTACAATGAATAGCTAAAATTACTTAAAAAGATAAATTCTAGTATGCTGTTTTACCATTATTGCTAAACTTTTTCCCATTAGATTATATATAAAGTTTTCCTTACCCCAAACTAATCTATAGCGATGGAAGTCAGAGTGCTGATTCTGTTCTGTTTCTTAAATCGGGGCAGTGATTACACAGATTTTTCTAGTTGTTAAGAATTATTCAAGCTCTACACCTATAATATGCATACTTTTCTATATGCATGCTATACTTCCATAAAGAGCTCTGGTGGCGCAGTGCCTAAGGCATTTGACTGCTAACCAGAAGGTTTGCAGTTCAAACCCACCAGCTATTCCTTGAAAGGAAGACTGGGCAATCTACTTCCGCAAATATTTAGCACCTAGGAAACTCAAAGCAAGTCACTATGAGTCAGAATTGACTCCACAACAATGAGTTTGTTTTTTTTAATACTTCAATAAAAATTGTTTGTTTTTTTTTTTAATGGCATCTGAATCAAAGGAGAGTGAAGAAATTCAAAGACACAAGGAAGCAATTAGTCCAAAGGGTTAATGGCCCACATGAACCATAGCCTCCTCTAGCCTGAGATCAGAACTAGATGGTGCCTAGCTACTACTGACCACTTTAATCACGAACACAATAGAAGGTACTGTTAGAGTAGAAGAAAAATGTAGAACAAAACTCAAATTCATAAAAAAGACAAGACTTACTGTTCTGATAGAGACTAGAGAAACCTCCAAGACATCAGCCTACCCTTCTAATTTGAAAGTAAAGCCACTACCACAGGTCACCTTTCAACCAAATAACAGACTGGCCTATAAAATAAACAGTAAAACCCGTGTGGAATGTGCTCCTTAAAACAATCAACTAACTATAAGAGACCAAAAGGACACTATTTACCCAAAAGTAAAGGTGAGAAGGCAGGGAGGGCCAGGGAAACAGGGTGTTAGTGCTGAAACATTGTGGAAGAATTGCAATCAGTGTCAGGGAACAATTTGGTACACATTATTGAATGGGAAACGAATTTGCAGTGTAACTTTCACCTAAACCACAATAAAATGTTTTAAAAAGATAGTTTTTTTAAAAGTCATAAAAAATAAATAAATAAATAAACCAAAGCTGTTTGGGCTCTTTTGTTAAAACAAAAACCAAACCAAACAACAAAAAGAATGTCACTGAAGGCTGAGCCTCCTCTTCAGTCCCCTCCCCCAGATTAAAATACATATTCTATGTATTGAAGCACTTCTCTGTTTAAAAAAAAAAAGTGTGTGGGAGGGGCAATTCAAAGTTATTTTGTAGCTTTTAACACTTCTTTTTTTTGGCATATTCCCAGGTAACATAAAATAGAAATCTTCCCTTTGCAACTTTCAGAAGGAAGCTCAGAAAGCATGGAACTCAATAGAAAAATGTGTTTATATTTTCCAAAATTAATCATCTTAAAGGCAAACTGAATAGAAGGAAAGTGTGTAGGTACTATATTGTCCAGACTAAAATACAAATTATTTTCAACTTTGTTAAGCGGATTTAAGAAGGAAAGAAAGACCATGCTTCGGAGTTTAGTTAAAGATAGGCCAGCAAGAGGAAAGAGGACTATGACTCAGGAGGCCAGTTGTGTTTCAGTCCAAATTCCACTACTAATTAGATATTTTAGGCAAATAAAAAAGCACACAACACTACCTGTCCAGAGGGATGAATGAAATAAAATGCATGAAAGCAGTAAACCAAGGCTTAATATGAAATATCGAATTATTGGCAAGACTCCTTGGGAAGATGCCTTTTCTCATTCACTTGAAGTGTCGACACCCAGAAATTAAAAAAAAAAAAAAAAAAACTCTAATGGGAACGAGAAATGCTTGTAATCTAACAACTCAATTCTCTCTTCCTTCCTCTAATCCTATAATCCTCCAGAGTTAAACCCAAAATGCTCTCGCGGCGAAAGCAGTGGAGTAAATTAGAACAGATCTGGATCCTCACCTAAAATACACTTTCACCTTTCACCTGCAAAGCCAAGCCAAACTGAATCTCCCCGCACCCTACCGGAGGGAGCCGTATTCTCCAAATACCACACAACCAATTCAGCCTTTCCGGATGAAATGCCAAGGAGTTAACCAACCAACTCCAAAGGGATAACCCTTTAGAAGGCAATTTTGCCAAATGGATCCAGGATAGTTCACAAGAATCCTCCTCCTAACTCTGAATACCAGTTACTAGGGGATCCAGTCAAACCTCGTTCAGGTACGTGACTCAGACAACAGGGTTCAACCTGACGAACTCTATCCCCATCAACAAATCAATCACACAGCCCTGTCCCCAACACAAATCCTTCACAATATGTCAGGAGATGAGATGGCAAAACTAAAACACACCCAGAAAGTTAATTCAGAAAGGACGCGGGTTTGGAAAAAGAGACACTCCGCACCCCCTCTCCGACCCCCAAGCGGCGACAGACGCTGGGTAGAGAAGCAGGAGAAAGATCCGTGGTCCCGGAGGGGATAGTGAAGGTGTTGGGGGTAAGCAGGGGTGCCGGTGCCGCAGAAGATCTAGACATCCTGACACTGGAGTCTAGCAGTAGCCCCAGCCGGCCCTCTTTGCTTGACCCCGCAGGGCAAATGGACCAGCCAGCTGGGCGCCGGGAAGGGAGGGAGACCACGCGAGAAGCGCCCGATCCCGCCCGGGAAGGCGGCGCGATCACGGGCCTTCTTACCCATGCAGGCCGAGGGCGCGACGCCGCCTGAGGAGCATGCAGAGCAGCAGCAGCGCGGCCCCTGCCAGCGATGAGTTTCGCGTCGTCAGGTACTTGCTGAAGGCCGCCATGGCACCGCCTGCGCGAGCTAGCCGGGAAAGGGACGCAGCAGCGACTACTTTAGAAGAACCGCGGGGGAGACTGGGAGGAGAGTACCGCGGAGAGGGAGGGCGGTGCCGGCCGCGTAGGACCGCCCCCTGGCGCGCGCCGCCGCTCCGCCTGCACTCCGGAGCCCACCGCGCGGACTTTGACCCGGCGGGAGCGCGCACGAGCGCCAGGGAGGACGGAACAGTCCCAGGACGCGTTCTGCGCACGCGCGGACCCCCGTATTGTCGCCGGGGACGCGGGCGCCGAGTAGTTTGTGGTCTACTCGCTTGTCACCTCCGAAGCCACCTGCTTGCCCCGACTTCATCCCTACCTCCCCCCCCGCACACACACCCAGACTTTCAGAAGAACTGGAAAAGCGGGTCAGGCCTGCCCCGGGGGGCCTAGTGGGACCAGCGCGTGATGGGCCGTTACCTCCCTTTTAAAGGAGCCAGGAAGAAGCTGAGCGTCACTGTCAAAAAGCATTTCTACAAAACTGGGTAATTGATTGGGACATAAACAATTGGGAACCCCAAAAATGTGTAGGGAGTCATGAGAAAAATGACTTAGAGTCAAATATCTTTTTTCCAAACCAGTGTTTCTAAACCGTGGATTTTAATCTCTGGGGATTGTGAAATCTGTGTGGTAGTTGGAACCACCTTTTTTTTAAAAAAAATAATTGTTTTAATGAAATCGAACAAATTCGAACACAATAGAAAATCTGAGTGAATCACGTTGTAAAGGGGTTTTTCTTCCAGTTTTTCATGTGTCCAGAGTGGCAATATAAAATGTATTTTTTTACGTAGGTCTGGTCAAACAGAAAGGCTGAGAAACACTGTTCTTTGCAAAGCGACATTCAGAAAATAACAATCTCACATTGTATTTGTGCTGGCCTTACTCCCAGATTCAGACGGGTATTACAGATGGTAGTATTCTTCTGTCTAACCCTATGATGGAGAAATTGTTATCCCTAGCATTTATCCTGGCATATCTGTGGTAATTTAGTAAATCCCTTTTTCATTTCAAGAAAGGAGAAAAGCAGGTATGTCATTCAAAGGATAACCAAACCAAACCAAACTCAGTACCGTGGAGTCGGATCCGACTCATAGCAACCCCTCCTTGGGTTTCCCAGGCAGTCTCACTAGGGAAGTAGATAACCCAACCTTCCTTCCAAGGAGTGGCTGGTGAGTTTGAACCACCAGCCTTCTGGTTAGCAGTCAAATTCCTTAGGCACTGTACCACCAGAGCTCCTTATTCAAAGAATAAATTCATAAAATCTGACATGATACACACACATATGTACTTACACATATTAAAGTAACTCACAAAACTGGTTTCCTAGGTGTTTTCAATATGAATTGATGGTTGCCTGATGCAAGATAACACAAGCACAAAATATAGTAATGACTTGCGGGGGTGGTGGTGGTGTTCATTTTCATTATCTTGTTAACAATTAGGTAATAAGATATGTCTAACACAGAGGATGCAAGGATGAACAGATCATAATCCCTGTACTCCAGAGTGTGGTAGAGAAGAAAATGTGAAAAAAAAAAAAGGTATGTGTTGAAATTGCCAAGTTAGAGTTATGAACAAACCAGAAAACCAAACCAAACTCACTGCCCTCGAGTTGGATCCAACTACTTATATAGACCCCTCCTTGGGTTTCCAAGGTTGTATCTCTATGGAAGTAGATTGCCCAATCCTCCTTCCAAGGAGTGGCTGGTGGGTTTGAATCCCCAGACTTCTGGTTAGTAGCCATATGTCTTAGGCACTATGCCACCAGAGCTACCAGAGGTATGAGTAAGGCACCATGAAAGAATGGAAGAGAATATGCTTAGTTTTCTCTAAAGCTATCAAGGCGTGACTGAGAAAGTGACTTTGTAGCTGAATCCTAAAGGAACAAAGAATGTGTCTTTTAGGAGGACAAGGAGGAAAATAACTAATTCACTAATAAATTACAAGGTTTAGGAACCTTGGGATAAAGTAACTGTATCATCTTGAAGTTTGTAACAGTGAAAGAAGAGCATTCAAGATTAGTCCAAAATAGAGTCTATTTAGGAAATAAATTTCATAATGTTCAGAGGAAAAACAGGTAATGACCCCTTGGAAGAGATAACGTAAAAGGTACCCTTGCTCTCAAGAAGCATGGGAGAGATTAGTTATATGAGCTCAAGCAATTTTAGTTATTGGTAAAGTCTATCTGATAAAAGGTCACTGGGGACCAACCTGTAATTCTACAGGTTAAGTTTATTAATTTACTGCAGCAATGGATGGGTATGTCAATTAAAAAAAAAATTAAGAAATGGAGGCACTATAGTATTTAGAAAAGGAGCTCTGATGGCGTAGTGCCTAAGGCATTTGACTGCTAACCAGAAGGCTGGCAGTTCAAACCCACCAGCCGCTCCGCAGAAGGAAGACTGGGCAATCTATTTCTGTAAAGATTTACCACCTTGCAAACTCAAGGGGTGTCTCTATGGGTTGGAATTGACTCTGTGGCAGTGAGTTTGTTTTTTTATAATATTTAGAGAAAGGGAGAGTTTAGGTAAAATCTAAACGGGGTTTGATAGGCTCAAAGCAAATTTCTATGTAAAGGGGTTAATACCAGGCCTGGGATGAAAAAGCAGACTCAGAGTCCTATTTCCCTGAAAATATAAAGTTAAGATTAATGTAGAATATTATGTCCCAAACCTCTCATCTTCATCTCTGCACTGTAAATTAAGGCCCTTTCTCTGAGTCAAAGATACTCAGTTTTATCCTCCAGACAAGAACGGCATGTTCTGTTCTCATTGGTATCATTTCAGGATAACAAAGTTTCCCATAGCCTGAGGTTTTAGAGAACAAGGTTCTTCAGCATTATGTCCTTTGATAATTAAACCAAAGCAAATTTACAGGGGCACACTTTATAATACTACATAATTAAGAAAAAGAAAACAATGAACTTAATTGGGAGATTGCTAGGAGCTCTAATTTTTAAAAAATGTGAGCTATTGAGAAACAGGAGGAGAGGGGCATATAAAGTTAGGGAATCCATAAAGTCTTCTGAAGAGAGGTTGTGTTAATCAGCTTCCAAGATTGTCCCCAGTGATCCTCACCTTCTGGTATTCATGCCTTTGTGTAATCTCCTCCCTCAAGTCAGACCTGCCCTGTGTGATCAAAAGGGTATGGTGGAGGTAATGGTGTTACTTCTGAAGCCAGGTGATAGAAAGCCTTGTGGCTTCTGCCTTGGTCTGTCTTTCTGATTGCTCACTCTCAAAAAAGCCATTTGCCATGGAGAACACTTAGATAGCTCTGGAGTGGAACTGAGACCTCTCACCAATAGCCAGCACCAGCTTACCAGTCACCTAAGTATGCCCCTTAGAAGCAGATCCTCCATCCCCAGTCAAGCCTTCAGATGAAGGCAGCCTAATGAGAGATCCCAAGCCAGACAGCTCAGCCAAAATGCACAAGTTCCTAACTAATAGAAACTGTGGACCATAATGTTTATTGTTGTTTTGAGCTACTAAACTTTGGAATAATTTGTTATTCAGAAGATGTGATTTGGGCCAAATCTTGAAAAACAGATAGAAGAAAGGGGCTTTAGGAGAAGATACAATAGGAGCAAACATTCAAAGATACAAAACAGGTTCAGGAAGAAGGCTTGAGACTGGTAAGGCTTGAGTTTAGGGTCATGAAGTGTGAAATAAGAAAAAAGCTTGAAATGTTTAGTTGAGGTCAATTTGTAGAGGGTCTAAAACACCAAGTTAAACAGATGGAAGTTTGTTTTGCATGTAGAGAGAATCACTGTAGATTTTTGGGAAGGGTAGTGACCTCAGCTCTTTAAAGAAAACTATGCTAGTGGCAGTATGTAAGATGAATTGAAGGAGTAAACACTAAGCAGAGAGACCGGTTTGAATGCTCTCCAGATAATCTAGGGAAAAGAGTGAGCAACTGAGAGCAGCACAGAGAAGATACGAAGGAAAAGACTTTGTAGATTCAAATTGGATGGGGATAGGTGAGATTGTTACAGGGAAGAAAAAGTTTAAGTTGAGTGAGATTTCCTAGCTGAAAGCCTGAGAAGATAGTCATATTTATCTGAAGTCGGAGGCATAGCAAATAGGGCATGCTTGTCAGGGAAGACAATTGAATCTAGTGCCTCAGCACAAAAATAAACTCCAAGGTCCTGAGTATATCATATAAAGCCAATTATGCCTTCCTCTTTAAACTCCTATTTTGCCACTCCTTTCCTCCAACAGATAAAATCTACCCCTTCGCTGGTAGACAGATACATACCACTATTCATCTCTATGGTCTTCCCTTGAATATGCTGTTCCTTCTGCCTACAATAGCAATCCCCTCCTGCCCTAACATCCTTACTCCCAATTCCAGTCCATCCTACAAAACCAAGCTTTGGTGATCTCCTACTCTGCACAGTCTTACCCAAACACTCCCCTGCAACCCACTTGCCAGGTTAACCACTCCCTCCTTTGTACTACATCTGTATCATGCGTAACTATGTTAAATGTGTAGCAGCGTGTCTGGGGAAGCAGATCTTAAGACTTTTTTCAGAAAAAGTAACAAATAATTTCTCTGAAAAAGTAACACATCAACCTATAGGGGGAGCATCATCTTTGCTTAGAAATAAGTCACTTGAGAAGCCTGTCTTACTGATGCACATGGAAGGAGAAAGAAAGTATAACAAGACTGCTTTTCCCAATCCCTAGTTAGCCCGAACTGGTGTTGGGAAAATTTGCATTGGAGAGCTCCAGGGAATGACTCAGATCTGAACTTCTTCCTTTTTGAAATTCAGTGTTATTAAACCCTTCTGATAGACTGAGAGAGTCCTGTCTCACTAGCTGAGGGCCCTAAAGAAGAACTCTTCACAGGCTTGGCTGCTTCAACAAGTTTGGCTGCTAACCAAAAGGTTGGAGGTTCAAGGCCATTCAGAGGTGCCTCGGAAGAAAGGCCTGGTGATCTTCCAAAAAGGAATCTTCAAAAGGATCTTTCAAAAAATAATTGAAAATTCTATGGAGAACAGTTCTGT